GTGTGAATTGAAAAAGTATATTGAAAACTACCTCTTTTATTATTCTGCATTTAACAATAAATGTAGCATTTTCAATTTGTTCCACTTTTCTAAGGATATTTTATAATTCATAATTACTTAAAAATTATTCAGCAAAAAAGGCCACAAGAATCAGGTTATAGAAGTGTAAAAAACTCCAATCAATACAAAGTTTAAAATTATTTTTATTTCATTTGTTAATAAAATAAATTCCGTTATTTTTTTTTTAACGAACATAAACATTTCAAATAATAAGTATTTTTCAATAAATGATATTATTGTTTTTAAGCGTGCTTTTATGCAGCGAAAAAATCGTGATACAGGCGGAACTTGATTATTCCGACAAACAAATTTAATTTAATTTACGTGGTAATTAAATTGCGTTTTTGTCCGACGGAGAAAAAAGTACACAAATTTATTTAAAAAATCCGAAAAAGTACTTATTACGCAAAACCAGTATAAAAATTATTTTTGATAAGTGATATCGTTGTATCCGCTAAACTTATTTATTACAAAAAAAAAAATTATTAAACACAATAACAGTTTCCGAACTGAACAATCATCATTGCGTATTTTTTTTGCAGCCGTGAGATACGGCAGGGTGCCGAAACGTTCGAGGGAACGCGGCCCCGAGGATACGATGGCGACGACTATGACGACGACCACAACGACAACGACGATGGCGGCCATGGAAATGCAGCAACTGACTACACCCGATACCGGCAACAACAACGCCAACAACAAGAACAACAATAACAACAACAACAACAATAACAACAACAATAATAACAGCCAGAACGCGATTTCGCGAGTGCCAACGGCGGCGGTGGTCGAGGCCGATCAGTCGGACGCTGACGTGAAGCCGCTGGCCGTGTACGATGTGATACACCAAGTGTCGCAGGCGCATCACGCTCATTGCGGCTTCACGGAAGAGTCTACCAGAGGTCTCACACGGAAACCTATGATAATACCGGTAAGTCATTAAAAAAGGAAACGTAGAATTAATCCGTCACGACCTAGAATGTCTGGATTAGTGGTTTGCTAGCGGTAGTTAAATTTTACAAGCGTTTTAATACACTGAGAAAAATGGTTTTATTATATTAACAAAATTCTTCTGGTTGACCGTATTTTAGTCAAACGAAACAGAATTTCTGGTTATCGTCACAAAATTTTACATCTTATATCAACACCCTTTGGTTAACTTTACTATAAAGATCTGAATAAGTGTTTTTTTGTTGGATCTACAAAACTTCTTGTTATATTTACATAAATCGTAGCGCTCTGTAACAGTTTCGTCATCACTCACTAAACGGTTGATCAACTGTTCGCTGCATTCATTTGTTACACTGCTACTGCGCCCTCGCTACTCGCGGCGTGAATCGCGCGCATTAGATCTTTCGCGAAGCAATGGCGCTGAGCAGTCGGAACAGTCTCAACTGAACTCGCTAAAGTTTTACGTCGCGTCGTGGATCCATTACGGAATATTAGTTAGGCTGATGGCAGAAAACGAGAAGTAAGTACTTATGTCTGTCGTAGACGTCTGTCGTGGACGTATGATGAGGCAGAGAAAAACGTAAGTCGTGAAAGGTTATTGTGTAGATACATGTGGATACGACTACGACATACATACATAAGTGTTTACGTCTCGGTCTCTGCCATCAGCCTTACATCCGAAAAGTTTTATGATCACGTGGTGTTTTTTTTAATGAAATATATGTATACCAGTGATGTGATGTTTCCTATCGGGCTCGGGAGCCGGGAGCCCGGTAAGAAACATCACATCACTGAGTATACTTTAAACCAAAATATATTTTTAATATTTTACAAAAACCACACCTATCCGAACTTGTTTTTTAACTACAATGTTGTGTCAACCTAACAAAATGATATAGTAAAGTTAACACAAGAAATTCTGGTAGAGTTTTGTAAATTTAATAACACGATGTAGTAAGGTTTACAAGAAATTCTGGTAGAGCTTTGTAAATCTAACAACACGATGTAGTAAGGTTTACAAGAAATTCTGATAGATTTAAACAGGATGGAATTTAACAGAATCTTCTGATAATTCCAACAACAAATTTGTTTCGTCTATTTTTGAACAAACGTACTAGTAGAATCAATCAGAATTTCTTATAATACAACAAAACTTTTTTTCCAGTGTAGAAATCTACTTACTTTTTCTTTTTTTTTTTTTGCTTTCTTTTTTCCTAGCGAACAAGAGAGACTTTTCGTATTGCATGTGAAGGAGTAATCAAATATTTCCATTATGCGTTTCCGTTGTTCTCGGTGCAGAATGGAATTCTGACCCTCTTCGGACGGACGCAGATTTATAGAGGACACTTACTTTTTTAAACTACTCGCTCGATTTTTGTGAAACTCGATCCGTCGAGGTATTTGTTCACACTTTATTTAAATCTAAAGTCAAAAATTTTAAATGGCGGATCCAATTTAGCGGATCGAGTTTAAAAAAAGATAATCGGAAACTCAGTTTGAGGGAGTTCTTTAAAGTTGCTGAATTCGAACGGAACTTCGGAATCTTGAGATTAACATTGTTGCTCGATAAAAAATTTTGAAATTTCGAGGTGACACTTGAGTTCAGCGATTCCAAAACCCCGTAAAACCGAGTTTCGAGATAATCGGAACTTTTTAAAAATCTGGTGCGCCATATTAGATGCGCTTGTGAATTTTGGGATTCTAAAGCCGCGATCAAATTCAGCGCCCTGAAAATCTTCAGAAAAAACAAGATCTCACTTTTGTTGGAAAGCTTCCGTCCCGAAAGGGTTAATTACTCATTACACATTAGCACGAAGACTTTCCGCTGGATGTGGCAGCAAACTCGCAGGTCTGTTTGTAATCTTGCTGATTAGGCGAGTAATTCTTCGCAGCCCGCCAGCCCGGAGGACCCGGAAGCGGCGTCGTCGACCGCGGAGACGGTCGAGTCGCAGAGGATCTGGCTGTGGCAGCAATTCGCCACGCGAGTGACGCCGTCGGTGCAGAGGGTGGTGGAGTTTGCGAAGCGGATGCCGGGATTCTGCGAGCTCTCGCAGGACGACCAGCTGATCCTGATCAAGGTCGGCTTCTTCGAGGTGTGGCTCTGCCATATCTCCAAGATGACCAACGACAATTCGATGACCTTCGAGGATGGCACCTACTTCACTCGACAGCAGTTGGAACTGATGTACGAGGTGAGATTTAGAACCCGTTCTCTCTCCGTCAGAGAAGGAACGTAAGCTCTTCTTATCGAGGAAATCAATACAGATCCGATGAAAGCTAAGAGCATTCAAAAGCATTCTCTCTGACGATGTTTTTATTCCTTGTCACTGCGCGACCGTTATAATTCTTTTCTTTGTGTGACTTTCGCGATCGACAGCCCGATTTCGTATCCGCGCTGATGCAAGTCACGTCGTCGCTGAACGCCCATCAACTGACGGACACCGAGCTGGGCCTGTTCTCGGCGCGGTGCTGCTGAGCGAGCGACCGGGTCTGAACGACGTCAAGGCCGTGCAGAGGCTGCAGGATCGCGTGCTGGAGGCGCTGAGGGTGCAAACGGCGCGGCCCGCCGCCGAAGGGGCCGGCGGTTCCGCCACCACGATGGCCAGCGTCTCGCAGAGGATACCCGAGCTGAGAGCGCTCGGCGCCAGACACGCCAGCATGCTCGACTGGTTCCGCCGGAACTGGACGAAGCTCAAGTTACCGCCGCTGTTCGCCGAAATATTCGACATTCCCAAATGCGAGGAGGATCTGCAATGAAGAGAGGTGATTCTTTGATAAATGAATTAGCATAACGGGTCGTATGAGTAAAAAGGGGAAGATAAATCTTTCGCTCGTGTTTATCGAAGCGGACGTACAAGACGCGTTAGCTCACACGCGTTTGACATTGAAGCATTTGCTTCTAGAAGCGGGATAAGCGTAAAAGAAGCAAAAGACAGCGAGCAATAAGAAATACGAATTCCCTGCACGCCTGTATAGCTGAGTTATCGATAACTATTCTGACGGCAGTGACGCAAGCAAATGCTTCGAAAGAATATTCATGTGAGATACAAGATACATACATGTGTAATGCTTCATGCTTTTACTTTTAAACAAGCGCTTTTGCTTTCCGCTAAGAGCATTTGCTTCGCTTTTATTCATACAACCCGATATATTCTGTCTTCTTGTTTTTCTCGTGCTCTTTTCATACACTTTCGCCGAACAAAAGAGTCGCATAATTTTTTCCTAACGCAGTGGCGATACCAAAGTTAACGTTTACGTGAAATCGGTGCGTATTTTTATAACAAGCACCTTTGTGAAGTTGGCCCTCCATTTTTTAGAAATGATTAGAGTTCTGGATGCCTCTCGAGGAGTTCTAGAGTTCTCAGTCCATTTTAGAAAGAGTTCTGCCATTTAAAGTAAAGAAAGCACCAATTGAAAAATTGGAGGACTAACTTCACGATGCCCTCCATTATGTAAAAAATCCAAATTTTTTTATAGTTTTGAATAGATTTCAAATAGTTATATAGATTTTTAGATAAGTTTCAAAAATAGTTCTGCTCGAAATACCACGAAAATTAAATTTGAAATTCTCGATTTGGAAGACGAAAAATAGCGAGAACTCATTCAATTTTGGTTTTAGCGTTTTGAGCCTTCAGAATAATCGCTAGAACTTGTAAAGGGCAATACAGAACTCTCAACAGAACTACCGAGAAAAATTTTTACCCTTGTGGGACTTAAAAATTTTTTGGACCCGTAATTTCAACCATCGAGAACTTTTTTATTTCGCCTTAGAGCGCTTCGGAGGGTAGAAAATTTTCTCGGTAACCGGCAGTTCTGTTGAGAGTTCTGGACGCCCCCCGAAGAGTTCTAGCGATAATCATTAACACTCGAAGCGCTCAAAACGCTAAAACCAAAATTGAACGAGTTCTCGCTATTTTTCGTCTTCCAAGTCGAGAATTTCAAATTTAATTTTCGTAGGATTTCGAGTAAAACTATTTTTGAAACTTATCTAGAACTACAAAACTATTTGAAATCTACTCAGAACTATAAAAAAATTTGGATTTTTTACATAATAAGGGGCGTCGTGAAGTTAGTCCCACAATTTTTCAAATGGTGTTTTCTTTACGTTAAATGGCAGAACTCTTTCTAAAATGGACTGAGAACTCTAGAACTCCTCGGGGGACATCCAGAACTCTAATCATTTTTTTCAATTTAAAAACATGGGAGGCCAACTTCACAGAAGTAATTACAAGTTTTTTTTTTTTATATAGTTTTTAGAATATTGAGTCGCTGAGTACAATGAATGTCGTTTGTTCAGCAGTCTTCGTAAGGTACAGCGAGGTTTCTCGAGACCAATGGTGCCGCGGTGCCGGGAAGGAGTCGCCCAGCGCACACTGCGGCCGCTCCGAATATCTAGAATCGTTCGTTTTAACACGTACATGGCGAAATACAGCTGACATGATCGCGAGAGATCAGGAACGAACGGTGAAAACAAGGAACGAAGCACATGTCTCTGAAGATTGTCTCCCGTAACGGACACCGGATAATTAAACAGAAAAACGAAGGCGCGATCGTCGATAGTGGACATTGGCGATTATTCCCGTTAACTTGTCACGGAGATATCTCGATCGTTCAGAGAACAACGCAACGGGAAGTGAAGCATCTTCGGCGAAAAATACGACGAGGAAACTCGCCGCATTAGAAGATTAAGATCGCGCGCCTGGACGGCGAAGCAGCCGATGGCGATCATCGCCGGCGTGCTTCGCCGGCAGCGGTCTTTTTAGAAAGCTCCCGCTAATTTATCCCAAGATATCTCAGTCGCTCGAGTAATAATAGCAAGTAACGTTAAGAGAGAAAGGGATCGCTTTTCGAAGACTCGTGCAAGCAATAGAACGAAACTTGGACGAGAGTGCAAAGCTCCGTGCAAGCTCCGCGCAAGATCGGAGGAAGGTTTGCGGCTGCAATTTGCTCAAAATCCAAAGGAAAACGGCTTTGTACCATTCGCCCAGCAATACCACGAGCATACATACGTCACGCGCGTTTCCAAGCGAGCGTGTACACTTACAAATACTCAATCGAGGGTGGGATCTCTTGCGCCGCTTTTTAATGCCGCGTCGAGCAAACGGGGTGGCTGTTTTGTTGGCGCGCGCGCCACAACGTGCGCCGCACAAAAGCGTAATCGAGTCATGGACGTCCGTTCGTGCTCAAGATTTTATCGGTCTTTTTTCTTTTTCTTCAGATATCTCGTAAGATTTAAGGATAGGCATCCGTGCGGTATCTCGTCCGAGCGACTTCTAATTAGAATCGGCCAGATGATAGAAGCGTCAGAAACACCAACTATACTCAACGGACATATCAGATATTAAGATTACCAAGTGTTTTCTTCCCCGCATCAAGCGTTTCCGAATATATTCACCTCGCGCGCGAGAATCGGGAGACCGGCGTTAATCGTGAGTTCAGATTTCGATGTGAAGAGTGCAATATATCTTGCAACGGCTGTCAATTTTTTCAATATTACGCATTTTTCGTTTTTGTTATGCATTTTACGCTTGAATTCTAAATTCCAGTGATATTTTTACGGATTTTAAATATTATATAGGCATCAAAGGTTTCATATAAATTTGAATATTTATGATAGACAAAAAAGTGTGCAAGCTGCATGTTAAATTGTACAACGTTAATTGATGATCATTCGTTAAAGATAAATAAGCGAAGGATTACGATTTAACAGGATAGCTGCAAAAGAGGGAAAAAATATCGTGCAATAAGAATTTCTTAATCCTTTACTTGATGTTTTATTGCTCTAATCAAAGCAATATGTCTTTAATCTGTTTAAAATCAACTAGATATTGTTAGAAGTCAATTTCTATATTATTTAATTTAGAAGCAATTTTTAAACCTTTTTAATTACAGATTAAATTCAATCACAATTCATCGGAAAATGTTCTCAATTTTATTCAACGTGCCAAATAAAGGATTAAAGTGTCCTCTGACAACGAGTTGTATGAATTTTCAGATTTGGCTCGCTAGATTCTCGGATCGCTTGTTGGTTAATAAAGCCACACTGTTCTGCGCGCCTGAACATCGAAAGTTGAACTTGTCGAAAATAGCGCTGGTTTCGATTTCGTCGCGACGTCGAGATGAATGACGAGTGGCTGTACAGCGGCGTGTAGAAACGTGACGAAACGAGCGCGCGATGAACGCGAGGGGCTCGCGGCTCGCGCGACACACGCGCGAGCGCACATACGCGTACGCATACAGCAGCTACACGGGCTTATGTGTGTAAATTCGAGTCGCACGGTGATGCGAAGAGACATATACAAATTTCACGCTCGAGAAGAAATCTTTATAGGACGTATCTCCTTTATATAGGTGCATCCGCTACGAATCTCAGTCTATGCAATCTCTATTTTTATTACTCGACAAGTAGAATAGCGAATTATATCTCGACATAGATATATACATATAATTATATATCGTCGCACCGCGCTTCGGAAAACTGTTCCAGGCGGTCCGGATCAAAGTTCCTCAATCAATCACGCGGAAAATTTTGCGCATTTGCTCGTCGCGACGGAGAAAGAACCACGATGAAATCCCAAATCGCGCTCCAAGAGACGCTAGCGAAACGGACGCGACGAGCCGATACTTGTGCACGTATATACAAAAATTAACGAACGAAACATTCTCACACACACACATACACGTATATGTATACACGTACAAATTAACGTCCAGAAGTCTCTACCTGAATCGCGACTCCGTGCGGAATGATTCCGAAGCGAGTGCGACCAGCTCTTCAAATTTTAAACACTAATAACTCTCTGACAATGACTAGTGTATAATGCATAACGATATATAATCGTATGTGAGAGTATGCGCCTCTGTGTGTGTGTGCGTGTGTGTGTGCGTGTGTGCATGCGTGCGTGCGTGCGTGTGTGTACGGTGTGTCTGCAATATGTGCGCGCGAGTGCATCGAAATACTCATCCGTGGAACATGGTATAAGAGGAAAAAAAAAGAAGTTTATTAATATAGATATCACTGTTTTATCTACATAAAAAAAAACCGGGCGTACTTAAAGTAACGACGTGACTCGGTTTATTATCGCTATTACTCAAACAAATCGAAGATGCTGTTCTTGCGATAGAAAGGAAGGAAGAAAAGATTTTTCCAGTCTTTATCACACACACACTCTCTTTTTCTCGCTCTTTCTCTCTCTTTCTAAGCGCTCACATCAAGTTGTGAATAAACATATCATACTTAATTAATATATTGGACAAAGAGGAAATATCATCGTTTAATATAATATAAATATATATACAAATATATATATATATATATAGGAGAAATATATATATGTATATTGCATACGAACATTATTGAAACTATATTGCAAAAAGGAGTAGCTGTTAATTAACGCGTTAATGAGCGGATCGCAGGATAGGACATATCGGCGATTACAACGCAACGATTACGATCACGTGATAGTGTTCTCTCTCGCTTTTTTAATTCTAATCCTCGTAATCGATCATGTGGAAGGTCTCTCGTGATCCAAATGTAAATCGAGCGTGACTTGGTGCTTATTGATCGTTACATTATTGTTTTCGCTTTCTATTCGATCGTCGCGAAACGAGATGCGAGATGAGAGAAGTGTCGATTCAAATTTCGAAGTGAGATAGCACGAATCGGACGTTGACACTGACGTCCTCCAGCGTGTTGAAATTGGAAGAAGAAGGTGTGAAAGATCAATCTCAGCGCAGCGGCGTAATTTCCAATGTTTGGGAGTGAAAGTAGGAAGGAAGTAGTAGAGACACGCTTGCGACATTGTGCGTCATGTTACATTGGATTTTCAATGTATACATACTGAGAAAGAATAATGGCTGCGCATTTTTGTTCAAACTGTGCAAATTATAGTTGAGATTGCAATACTGCTATCGTCATTGTAATTATAATTTCAATTTATAAAACCATGTCGCATATTATACTCCGAAATTTTTCTATAATACAAAACTATACATATTTAAAACTCATTATAACTTGCAGTGAAATTTCCATGTTGGTTACATGGTTGGCAGTACTGTGTATACAATTATTGCTAAATCACAGTAGCAGCTCTCATTGTGATTACTTCACTATGCAATTATTGTAATATCTTAAACGGCTCCACTCGAACACTCTCTGAACGTTGGATTTTTTTTCACGCCACTGTGCTGACGGAAATATTGAAGATAAGAAATTAAATATTGTAGAGACATTGACACCTTCTTCCCGCGATCGACATTTTTCTCCCAGTTACGTCACAGTCGTATTTTTCAAAATTTCTAGTCTCACGACAATTATTCGCCGAGATAGCAATCGTGAATTGAAGAGGTGTTCTCGCAAGCGTTGCTGGAATATATAATAAACGGCCAAATACATCATAGTAATAATATAGTAATATTGTATTATTATGATAAAAAAAGTAACTCTCTATCTCTCTCTATCTCTTAGCAACGGCGCCGGTCAATCGTCTTTCGTTATCCTTGCGCCACGCCGATAGTGTTCCTCCGTGTTCTTGCCGGTTGTTCGCGCGCGAATCGATGCTCCACCTTTTTCGGCACGCGTCAATCCTCTCGCTCTGATTTCGCCGTCGGCGACTCTTCATTCTTCGACTTTTAAGCGACTTCGTAGCGACGATTGGCCGGTATGATAATAGAAAAAAGAAAAAAAACATGATAAGAATGAAACGATAATCGAGTTAATGTGCTTCGAAGCAGGAGGAGAAGGAGCCGGCAAGGGCAAGGCTTTTGGGACTCAAAATCGAAATGTTTAACAATTCTACAATAGAATAGCGTGTGAATCTGCAGGATTGCGTGCGCACGTTTAGCTCTTGTCGGTTCTTCTCTTGACGTCCTGATTTCATATCGAAGAGTCTTTTCATTTTCTTTAATCTCTATTCTTCTCGAACTGCGAGACACTATGTCCCTCTTCCTTCATTCCATTTCCCAAAACAATCCCTTTTCTTTCACGTGTTCCGAAACGTAAGATATTTGTTCTCTTCTTTTTTTTTGTCCCACTCCTTCCTTCAATCAAGCCTTTATCCCAATTTGTCTTTTTCCCTCCGCCTTCTTTATAGGTTTCGAGACTCGAAATTTCGGTCATGGTGCTATAATATCTGTACATAGAAAGATCACTGGCATAATCGATACGTTATGATTAATAATATTATTGCGGTTAAAGTCCGATTATTATTGCTGATCCTCTCACTGCTATTATCATCATCACCGATATGTTTATTATCGTTATTGCTAATTATTATAATTATTATTATTGATACAGATATTATTATTATTATTATTGCATTGATTGTACTTATTATTGATTATAATCTATGATTATTATCTATTATAATCTATCTCTCGACACTACCGTCAGCGGCGCTATTTAAGTCAGGCGAATGCGAAGAAAGGCAAACGCTAGGAAGATAAGAAGGTCCGGACGGTTTTCGAAATACTTGTACGTATTCCGCCCGCAGTTGCTATAAGATTACGTAACGATAATTCTTCTGTTTGATATCGATTCCCGATTATACATGCGCTGTCGCACGCATTATGCATGCCCGTTCTCTTCGACACATTGAAGATAACCAAACGTACATACACAAGTATACAGGATGGCCAGAAATTCGCAGCGGTGGAATTTTTTTGACCGACGTGGAATCAATTAATCCTCTAACTTGATTCATCGAAGAAAATGCAATCAAACTCCGTGTTGTTTTCGAATCTTAAATATTCGACGAACACTTCTAGAGATTTTGTGTGAACTGAACCGACTTGAAATTAGCAGGAAAGTAAGAGTAAAACTTACGCAGAAAATTCTATATACTTTTAAATTAAACGAAGAGCACCAGGCGTTTCGATACTTGTGTCGAGGAAAATCAATTTTGAACTAATCAAAGAATTTCATCGTTTTAAATTTTGGCACGAATTTATGTCTATCATGTATACGTCTAAAGACGCTTGACAAGAGAAGTATAAGCAGTGTTCGAAAATAAAACCGTTAACAAACCGCAAAAGAATTTCACTCAATATTCGTACGTATGAGATCAACGTTATCGGCAAAGCTTTCAATTCGTATCGCAAAAATTAATAAGAAAAAATCGATTGCACTTGACAGAAACACACAAATTGTTGCTGAACTTTTAACTCACACTCTTTTATCAAGCGCGCCTTAGATGTAAACGGTGGTCAACATATAAATAGTGAACGCTACTTGTCTTTTTTAATAAAAATTTTCGAAATATGATTTAAAGAGGGATGCATATCGACATATAATTGCCACATTATTAAAGCACTTGATCGAATAAAGTATTATATAAGTAAATTTCATCTCTAAACACAAAAGAATGATGAGTTGTAATGAATATTTGTTCCTATTTACGTGTTTATCACGTATGTGCGCGCGCATACACACACACACACACACACACACACACACACACACACACACACACACACACACACACACACGCACGCACGCATAGAGTGTCATCGCACATTTTCTCGCGATTATAAATTCAGTGAGCATTTAAATGAATTTAAATGATCCAGCAAAAGTAAAATCGTTCTGTTTCAATGCAATCTGGCTAAATTCAGCCTTAAAACTTTATTGAAGTAAAATTCACTTAAAATTATATCTACAAGGAATAAATTATCATCCGTTCGGATATTTTTCAAAATCAACCAGTGAAAGATACGAAATTTTATGAGTTTGTGATTTTACACTTTTTACTCTTCTTAATTGTAATTTAATTGTTTATTTTGCCTAGATATTGAAAGATTTCTCAAGATAAATAGAAATGTTTCGCAATTGGGGGAAAGTGTGTATGTGTGACGCTTGGAATACCATGTACACATATACATAATTAACGAAGACGACGACGATGGCCACAACAAGGATAACGGCGGAAGAAGTCGGCGTGCCAAGGAAGGCGGGAATTATTCTTAAAAAAATATGTGTATACATATATATGTAACGTGTATGTATATATATATATATATATATATATTTTTATATTACTTATATATGTATAAAATATAATATAAATCAAGATAAAACGCGATATTAAGGGTAAATAACTACAACAAAAAATGACTGCTCTATACTGCTAAAGTACAAATGTTTTTATTTAGTTGTTTTATAAGACGATATTGATTCGTTAAAGTTCGCGGATCCGCGTTTATGCCTCACATTTGGCGTTAAATGCGGCCGTTGGGGCTGACTTTTTTGTCTAATGAGAATCGCGTATAGAATGTTATGTGAGACTGAGAATTTAAATAACCGCATTCGGAGTGCGAAATACGAGGTGTAAATGCGGACCTAGATTTATAGCGCGTCAGAAGGGACATAAATACATATACACAGCTTGACGCGCGTATCTGTATGTATATCTGTATTTATTTGTTAATCTCTAAAACGTGTGGCGCGCCAAGAGCCATGCGTGTATATTTCATACAGGGTGTCGCAGAAATCGCGCACTTCCCACCGACTGCAATATCTCTGATCAGTTTGGAGTCAATCGTTTCTTGATCCAAATTTTCCGACACTATAATTTTCCACACTTTCCGACATTCAGCTTCATAATTAACTAAATTAAGACTTAAGTAATGTCTATTTGAAATAATAATTAACTAGAATTACTAGATTTTCTTGTCTATTTGATCGTTTAATCAAACATTTCGATTTTTCTTTGACGAGGTTGATTGACACTTCGACATTCGACATGTATGGAGGAAATAAAAAAACTCGGCTCCAAATTTAGGCAAATCGTAATCGGAAGGAAGCCCCAGTTTTGGGATACCCTAAAAGCACGCATTCATACGCACACATACACGCATATCACATGACATATTCTTCTACTACTATATCCAAACGCATGATATACATCCTCTCTATTTCGTCTGTTTCACGAAGCATGAGGTAATAATGTTCGATTTTTGGTATCGTCGACAATCACGATCGCGGTAGCGTCACACAGCGACATTCCAGCAAAGGAACAGATTTTTTTATTTAGAGTTTACATTATAAGGTACGGGGTAATTCAAATTTACGTCGCTCGGTCGCAAATATATAATTTATCGAAGTAAATTGTGATGATTCAATAAATAACAATAATTAAAGAGCTCGTAACAAAAGCAAGCCTTGAGTCAAACATTGAGGAAATTGAGAATAATAGCGTATTCTGGTGATCACAGGCGGAATCTACAGTGTGGTTGCACCAATTCTCGTGAAAACAACTTATGTCTTGATTTATATTGTCAGCAAGTTACTGAAGAATTAAGGATGACAGAATGTTTTTTCTTCTCCTGAAAAAATGATAATATTGACTTGATTTTGTTATGAACTTTTCAATTTTTTAAGTATATATAATACGTATTTATTTTCGTATTTGATGTTTTATACGATCTGAGAATCATCATAGTAAATTTTAGACAATTGTAGACTAGAAAAGCGACTTGCTTAATGAGAAAAATTTTAAGGTTTGCAAAACTGTATAAACACAAACGATATGTACGTTTAAAAATATTCAGAATAGAAAGAAGAACATATCTAAAAAAATTTCTTGATTACAAATTATATGAAAAAATATAATGTTTTTCAAGTTCGATGGCATATGTTTGAATCACCCTGTATAATTGTCATTCACTGACGAAATTGCAACATATATAATCAGGTTTCGCAATTTCCGTTAGAGAAATCTATAAACGACCAATTCACGTTTTAATTAATATTCCATCATAGCAATGTTTCAGAAATGATACGCTTGCGGCGTATAATTTATTATTGGGCATATTATTAAAAAATGCGGACTCTCTCTCTTTCTATATTAGGAAATCTAGAGTGAGTAGGAACGATTAGATTTAAATTCGTTGATTTATATTATATTTGTAAATTAAGAGTTTATCGATTTATTGTTTTTCTTTCCCTTTCGTTAGAATCGCTTGAATTATATTAATTTTTAATTTTATTATAATAAAATTTATACTGTACGAGTTCATCGGTGTTCCGCAAGTACTAAATGATTGATGCAAAATCGTTGATCGATCGTTCTTATCATCATCCGCTTTTTTCCACGATTTATTTTTAAATCATCCTTGATTGAAACTGAGAGATATATCGAATTCTTTTATTAGAGTCATTCGATTATTTACAGATATGCGAAATAACTTGTGCCAATTACAAGACTAATCACTAATGTATTAATTCATGAAGAACGGGAGGGAAGCGACAACGATCCACGAAATTGAAGAGCTTAACCGCCGAAAATGTCTCAAAAGTATATTTATAAATAACGAGGACTTACGTGTGCGCTGAAATTGCACGCGTATTTTTTTTTTTTTTTTTTTTTTTTAGAAATAGTATATAATTATTTGAAGTATGCGTTTGAGGCGATTTTGGAAGCAGGCTCTTCGGTTACAATACACTAGCGGCGGTTCTACTTAAGCGATCGCACATATCGAAGTACATATATACCTTTTAAAAGCTGTATCGATGTTTAATCGTCCATGGGATCCAAGATCCCTATGGAGATGTATAATGCAATTTTTGCCTCCGAGAGGCTAGTGTAGCACGGCAATAAAAAAAGCGATCGTATGCCTTCTTCAAGCGTATCTTTCTTTTTTCTTTTTTTTTTTATTGTTAAGTATTTCGAAAAACCGCAACTCTCTCTCTCTCTCTC